TATGCGTTGGAGGGTTCTATGACAGGACGCATTGCAGGCTCCGCAAACTTGATGAAGAGGTTGGAGCTGTATGATGGAGTGCAGTCATGGGTCAGCAGAGTGAAGAGGAGGGGGCTCAGCACACATCCCTGCGGGGCCCCCGTGTTTAAAATGATGGTGCTGGATGTATTACTGCCGACCCGTACTGCGTCATACAGATAGTTAGTGATGTCAAGGTAACATCACTCCACATTCCAGGAGGTTTATGTTACACTGACCAGAGAGCACAAACTGTGATATCGGAAAACCCTGATCACTGATTTGCTGGAGTGTGGATCAATGCTATTTGCACACTCACACACACAGATGGAAACTAGTTAGACACAGGAAGCTACAACTAAGTATTAATGAAATGAAGTGTAGATAGACTGGAACAATTACACAACATGACCATGAGAACAGACTATGTTGTAACTGCTATTACATATATAATAACAAACTGTGGCAGCACCGACTATTTGTACTAAAGAACAGAAAAAAAATAATTACACACAATTTTATAAAATTCGTCGTCTGCTACTGGGATAATATATTTAACTAAAAAAAATAAAAAATAAATCACACTTATCATCAATGCACAGTTATTGTCAGGCGTTTAGGTAGGAATTGGCATGTGGGGATACCAAGGTTTGGTATAGCGACACATCGTGGGAGAGAGAATTACTTAGAAATAAGTCAAAATAATTTATTTCATGAGGTCCAGTAGATTTTTCTTTGTGTAAGGTCTGTGATTATGTAACCTGTGCAACTATTTGTGGATTTAGCCAAAAATAATCAGCAAAACATCAAGCATAGATACAGTATCTCATTTAAAAACTTTAAAATTTATTTTTAGTCTGAAATTTGATGTCAGACTTAAATTTCAAGTTTATAACATGTCAATTGCTGGGCTATGCTTACCTTTGAAAATAATCTCTCATTGTCCTCTCCTGTCCTTTTTTCGTCTTTTTCCATTTATCAGAGTGGCACATTAATGTTTTATTCTTTCCCGAGGAAATACATCAGCTGTACTTTTAGGTCACAGAAGTATTTTGTGAAAACTGTGCAGAATGTATTGAAGATGTAAAAAGTCCACAGGATGTTTATCATTAGTGAGCAGGTATTTTCATGCTGTCACTAAGCAAGCACATGAAAATGAAACTAATTTGATAGTAATATGCACTAAGATGCTTATAAGATTGAATCATTCATTAACTGGAGGTCCTGGAATGATGTTCCAGATCATTCCAGCCCACTTTTTAACCCCCAATTATGAAGTTACCTGTGACTAATATCGGGCCTTTAACCCCACAACTTAAAGCCTTGGCTCAGTATATGGTTTATAGCTAAAACTATACTCTGCAGCCATTAAACCCATAGATGTTTTTGTTTTTTTGTGGTTCTACAGTAAAGTCCAATACACCTCTGGACATCAGAATGGCTCAAGCTGCTTTATTTTGGTTTAGCTTGGTCGCAAATTTAATAGTGAGAACGTATTTAAAATTCAGTATCTTAATCTTACCCAGAACCTTCTTGTTGTGAGGGGAGAATGCTAAACACTGCATCACTGTGTCACCACCCATCTTACATCATCATCTATGACACAATACAAATTGGCTTCTACAATCAGACCATGTGAAAAGTCTGGCCAAAACCTTAATAATAATAATAATAACACTTTAGTCTGAATAAGTGACTTGAATTGAGTAATTCACTTTGGCACAATGAGCTCAGGACTGACTGTCATCATGTTAATGAATGTTTAAGACACGAGACTGATAGCAATGACTAAAACAACAGTTTGACATATTTTTATAGGTTATAGAGCGAGACAACACTTAATGCTTTCATCTGCTATTTTTTGACATGAGTGTTTCAACCACGAATGACTGTACACTAACATTAACTGGTGTACGAGAATATGAGCTCGCTCAGTTAGCTTCAGTGCAGCCACTACAGTGAAGAGGTCTGACAGTGTCGAGAGCTTCGTCTGTATGAATTACACATCGTCAGTGAGAGCGTGTTTATTCATGAGAGCTGCCTGCCTCACACATGCTTACACTCACACAGCCACACCATTCTCCACTGTGATTGGCTCTTCTCCTGAAGCTTCCGCACCAAGTGCATTATGGGATATGAGCAGATGCTTTCATCCTTGTACATTTTTCTTCTCTTTCTGAATCTCAGCATTTATTTCTCCATTTTTTCTGCTGGGGCTCCATCATTGTTCCCTCCTCTGTGTCATCGCTGCACAGGAGCAGCATCCCACCAGCTCTTTTTACATTTCTGCCTCCTCCATCTTTTTCAGTGTTCACCCTTCTCAAGGTGACTCACCACACAGCCGTCTCTTTCTCACCCTCTCTCTCTACCTCCATCAGCTAGTGTCAGTCACAGTATCTTGGTCACTCTACCAATTACAAGGACCTCCGTGCGAAGCCTGTGGCTGCTGACCTCCATCCTTTCACACCACCAATCCAATCGCAGCATCCATCTCTATCGATTGATTGGTCTGGATCAAATGACCCTGTAGTTGCCTTGTCAACTGAGCCTCCCTCTGGTGTTCCCCACCCCCACCACAGTGCAGTTCACTCAAATCCGCTTTATCTATCTGTCCAGTCTTCAGGCAAACCACAGCTTGAAAATGGGAATTTCCACTCCCCCCACATGCACTGACACACCCTCCTCCTCAGCTTCTCTTCCTCCTCCTCCTCTCTTTCACGCAGTGGTCAAAGATGTGTATGGTTTCCCCCTTCGGCAATCTAGTGGAAAGCATTACAACCATTTGTATTTCCACAACTCAGCCTCCACTCTCATCCCATCCAAACTGGGATGTAGAACAGAAGAGAAAGCGACTACATTGCACAGGGAGGGAAAGGCACTAAAGAAGAGCAGCTATAGTTTTCTAACATACATGTTAACCAGATTTTATCAACTCAATATATGTATGTATATATTAAAAAAAAAAAAAAAACCCCACTAAGATGCAAAATAGGGTTTTTCCTGTTGTAAAATGAGCCTTGGGTACATGACTATGCAAAGAAATACAAATCATTACTTAAGCAAAGACTCTATGTTTCCTTACTGAACAGAAGTCAGTGTTTTTTCCTGTCATCTCGGGCCATTTGATAAAGCAAAATGTTTTATTCTTTAATTATAAGCACTTACAAGCTGCTTTTATTACAATATGGTGGCTTTGATTAGGGCATCATTTTTTGTATGCAGGAGAAACTCAGTATTTAGTGAAACTAACTTTGGAAGATTAAAAAAACTGTAATAAAAATACAGGCTGTAATACTACATTAATGAATATGGACACAGAGTCATTATAGTAATTAACCCGTTATAATCAAAGTAATAATATATGACTGAAGCTGTGACATCGAAATGTTGTTGCTGGAACAGGATGTATTATGAACTGACAGATCACTGACGTTTTATGAGTCTAATGGGGTAAAACAGGTAGATTTAAGCCCATTTTCCTTTGAGTTCTAAGCAGTTGATATTTTTGTGTGTGGGATGTGAAAAATTGGGGGTGGGGGTCGACCACTGCTGAGGAACCATTTTGACGCATTTGCCTCCGTGCCCATTTGGTACCCAGACCTAAGATGCCTCCACATCCACCGAGCCCGTATCCTCAATGACAGCAGCACGACGCATCGTGGCATTATGTAATGTTTGAATGAAAACGCAGCAAATGGCGGGTGGGGAAATTTAAGGGGGGGGGGGGGGGGTCGTAGCCTTTATGGTTCAGAGTCCCAGACACCACCCTCTCTGTGCATCTGGACGTTTAACATTATGGCTTTCAAATTATCAAATGAATTCAGGACATCGTGATCGCTCTTTTTCTTTTAATAATAACTGAGGAGACGCACATTTGCGACAGCTGAGAGTTACCGCAGTCAGACTTGGAGGGATGAGATGATATTCCGCAGTCCGGACTGCGGGTTTACCGGCAAAAGGTTACACGTATCCCACGCGTAATTCCGCGTTTCACACGCGTATTATTCACAAAAGATTTCATTTCGGACCGGGCGTATCCGTGTCGTTACGCTGTCTGAATAATTGTGCATTTTGGATTTGTGAATTTCCTCAATGGTCTGCAGCAGGTCCAACGCCAGATGTGCGGTCCGTGTAATCCCGTTTTTTGGAACCGGAGCATGAAGCAGCACATTTTTCTGTCACTTCATCACCAATTCTTGCTAAAACCAGAGAGAGAAGATACTTATTTCTACACCGGGCCTGCTTGGGGTCATCGTTAGATTACTGAAAGCATTACAGCACCATTCTGGGAGAAAGCTCCTATGACATCTTTAAAAATCGGGATTAATCTCAGTGCGTTTGCAGTGCAGGGTCAGTGAGCTAAACGCCCCTTTTGTCTGCTGAATGATTAAACATGAAGGCGTGACAGCACATTTCACCCACTGGGGAAAATGAATCAGATTTCGCAGGTCAAGCAGCAACACTAAGGGGCTTGTCGTATGGTTGCGAGCTGCACATATGCTACTTGAACTCAAACACTAAATGGCCAACGTTACTGTGGCGGCTTTCCACCCTGCACCGGCTCCGTCGGGAGTCTGGATGCGGCGGACTGACTCACAAATCTGGCGCATGATCCGAAGGAAAAAGAAGACCTGGTGTGCAGGCAACAGGAATCACCTCCATTACCCGTTAATTACAAGTGCGCTGATTTGGTGTGGTAAATGGCGTCAGTGACAAGCACATAATGGGCGATCGCATCCATTTGGGAGACTGAAAAATTAACGTAGCACAGCCAAAATAACTCTTAACCACTTGATTAGGCAAGTCATACATATCCCAGCACGTTCAATGTCATTGTAACATCATGCATGTGCCTCCATGTACAGTTAACCCTTACGTCGATGGCCACAGACCGTTAACATTACTAACTCACACTTTAGCCGACATATATATATAATTTATAGCATGTTAGCTAAGAAAGACGCAAGAAATTCGTCTCTTACCCCCATTTTGGCGCTTTCAGTCGGCTCTCCTCAGACGAGTTCCTTTTTTAGGCTCGATTCAACCAGAAAAACTGGCTCTATAAGGCGAGGAGACAGGGCAGAGGACAGAAGAAAAAATGCCCCTTCGGCTGATTACGTTAGCTATTGCTCAAACGACAAAAAAATCAATTAAGTAGCTATCATAATACCCTAAAATATAATTTCTTATGAGGAACGGGACTAAGGTTACCCTGACAAAGCGACGGCTCATAAAACACTTAATCAAATCTTCATCCCGTTCAGATGAACATCAAAAAGATGTGTTATGCTGAGTAAAATGTTAAATTAAACGCAGCCGCTGGTGATACTTCACCAGCCGTGTTCCTGCGAGGCTCAACTGATGCCGGGGGAAAGAAGAGCCGGGCGGCAGGCTTCTTCTTCGGATGCCGTCTCCCTCCGCGGCTGTGAGCAGGCTGCCGTGGCACCCAGGGTCCCCCAGTTATCACTCCGCGAATGAACAGATAGGTCCTAAGCAAAGTGGGGCTGAGTTCAGACTGTGATTGAAAAAGTATCTGTACTTGTCACCAGACATTCCGCACAATTATAAGTAAAATAGAGGAAAACATATTTTCAAATAATCTATGTAAAATACAATAGACAAGTTGGATGAGTGATATAAGACAAACAAACAAATAAATGTGAAATCATTTCAGTTTGTTCTGAATACTGTTATTGGAATGTCTGGAATAAAAAAAATGTTAGGTAAATTTGACCTAATTTGATATTGGAATAACATTTTGTCTTAATTTGCAGTAATATGGTAAAAATACAAACACTTATCTTCTTTATTTTCGCTGTATTATTTAAAATTTCTGCTACATTTACAGTGCCCTGAAACAATATTTCCTGATTTTCTTTTTCCTTTTGCACATTTATCACATTTTTCAGATCATCAAGATCATCAGTATCATTTTGATATTAGACAAAGATAAGTGGAGTAAATGCAATATGTAGTTTTTAAACAATGATTTCATTTTTTAATGGAAAACAGCTGTCCCAATGTCCTATGTAAAAACGTTAAATCATGAACTAATTGTGATTAACCACATTGTTTTGGAAAACTGACTTCAGTTTAACTACTCACACCCTGCCAGTAAGCTGAAATGAAAAATCAATTAAGAAAAAACTTGTCTGAAAAGTGAAGTATAGCCTACTTCACTTCAATGTAGGATCCGTCTAAAATGAATAAAACTTGGAAGAGTGGTGAGCCTTTAAGGAATGGCCAGACTACTAAAATTACTCCAAGATCACATCAAAATCCAAGAGGTCACAAAAAAACAACAACACTCAGAACAACATCTAAAGAACTACAGGCGTCACCTGTCTCAGTTAAAGTCATTATTCATGGGCAAAACTGGCACTCATGGGAGAGTTCAGAGGAGAAAAACACAGCTGACCAAAAAGAGCAGAAAACCATGTCGCAAATGTACCAAAAACATCTTGGTGAGCCCAAAGGCCCAAAGACTTTTTGGAAAAATGTTCTGTGGACTGATGAGACAAAATTTGAACTTTTTGGAAGGTTTGTGTCCCGTTACATCTGCAGTAAATCAAACACAACATTTTATAAAAAGAAAATCCTACCAGCAATTAAACATGGTGGTGATAGTGCAGGGATGGGCAACTCCAGGCCTCGAGGGCCGGTGTCCTGCAGGGTTTAGATCTCACC